AATAGTAATTAATTTTATTTTTAAAATTACTTGAAATTGGTTTAAATTTTAAATTGATTTCATTAATTTTAATTTTAAAAAGATATCATTCATTTTATTAGCTAAAATAACAATTGATTTTATTTTTTAAATTACTTAATATTAGTGTCAATTTTAAATTGTTTTCATTTAATTTTAATTCTAGCATCAATGTGGCCAAATTTAAGCAGATTTTGATTCGAATTTAACTTTAAATAAGTTATTACCACTACCCAACCCATTTTTAAAACTATATCTAATTCAGTCGATTGAGCTAATCAGGTTGGACGGGTTTCAGAAAAATGCTACCACCACCATAAATCCTACTCAACCCCATATATAACTTAATTAATTACCATAATTGGTCTCATCAATTACCTATATAAGTTGACTCGAGAAAGCACCTAAGCCCGAGTCACTATTTGTACAACTCTTCCCACACCCACTAATTGATGTCGCAGAGCGTAGCCCTACCCTGGTCGTCATTCTTGAACTTGCAAATTAGACGCTCACTGATTGAGTAATAATTACTATTTTTCAACTTAAAAAAGATGAAGTTGATTTTTATTTTAATGATAATATTATGCGTATTTTGAGTTAAAAACTACAACTTAATATTTTAATTTAAAATTAATTTTTTTAATTTATAAATTAAAAATATAGTTAATATACTTTTTAATAATTAATTCATATAGAACAATAAAAAATTGATATTAATTTTGACATTAGTGTTATATGTCTTAACTTAATTAATTAATCATTAAAATTGAAATCAAATTTTATTTTATTTTTTATATAATTTAATGTTAAAAAGTATGTCAATTACTTTCTTATCCTAAAGGCACATATGACATTTTAGATTTTAGATTTTTTAATAAAAATCACAATCATTACTTAACAATTGCCTCTTAAATTGTGCCTTAAAAATACATTATAAAAAAACTCATAAAATAAGGGCACTTTCTTCTCATTATTGCTAAAAATTACTCCCTGCCTTTATTTTTAGTTTTAATTTGATTTTTTTAACATATTATATAAATAATAAATTTTAAATGAAAATTTAACATATTATATAAATAATAATTCAAATTTTTTTTATCAAATAAAAATACTCAATAAGAATTACATATAAAACAAAAAATATCTCAATTATTGTTTATATGAATTGTTAAATTTTCGTTTAAAATTTATATTTTAAAAGTTAAAAAATTAAATTAAAATTACTAAAAATGAACAAATTGACTAATAAAAATAAGATGAAAATAATTGATACAAGTTTTAATTTAACACATTTACTAATATTTACTAGTTAAATTATTAAATCTACAATTTTAGGTTTTTTTTTTAATTCAAATTAAAAAATAATAATTTTTTAATAAATATATTATGAAATATGTTGATGTAAGAGAGTGTTTGTATTAGTGTGTTTAAAATAAAATGCAGTTTTATAGTTTCACTACACTCACCTTTGTTTTTGTTTTGTTGACACTTGGCAGTTCAAGCTACCAGGGAAGCAGTTTCGTCTTATCTGCAACTGCTAGAATCGAGTTTTGACCCTCAACAATGCAACGACAGTTTTCCAGTTTCAAGTTCTTGCGAGAACGAGAACGAGTGTTGCAGGCAAACATGCATAAGTAGAAATGGATTACCCAACGACGCAGACGTTATGGCCACCCTCCAGGGCGATACATGTTACTGTCAATTTATAATCGATGATGGTCCTTGTCCGACTCCGATGATTCTTGAGCTTTTGCCTGAATTGACTGATTTGGTCAGGAGTGCATAAAGAACAGAAATCGTTGAAGGGGCAGAGCAAGACGTGCATTAAAAGGCTATGTAGCTGCTCTTTTGTTAGTTATATGTCCTTGTAAGTTGTAACTAATAATTAAGACATTTGATAATGCCACGTTAGTATGCTATATTAGTGTTGAATGTGTAAATGACGTGTATAATATTTTTTATAACTTTTTTTGTTCTCTTTGCGCTATAATAATTGTTGTTTTTTTTATTTTTTTCTTTAAATTAAAAATTTAAACTATTATGTTCCCCAATTAGTGATTAATGTTAATTTTTTAGGATTAAGTTTATGAATCTTGTAGTTGGATAGTCCTCCCTCTGTTCCATGTTATTATTCATTTTAGCTAATTTCACAAGGGTTTAAAGAAATCAATTAATTACTCTTAATTTCAAGGACAAATGCCTTTAAAATACAATTTTACCCTTCATTCCTAACCTAATTTCCTAACGCCTTACCATTTATCACCTACTAATTCTTTTTCTTTTTTTCCTTTTTTTCTGGACTCCATTATAATGGACAAAACTCCAAATTAAACCAAAAAAATATATACAAAAATACAAATCTTGTTTATTATCAAGAAGATACGATAATAGAAAACCCAACCCGTTTTGGGGCGTCTCGGTCCGTTAAATGAACGTGAGTTTTGTGTGGTCAGTCATCAGATGCCGAAGTATACAATCATCAGTTTCAAGAAATTTGCCTTCCATCCTTGAATTCTAGTCGGTGAATTCTTATATATTATCACTACAAGAAAACTCACATTTAGTAACTGAATTATTAATTACTAAATCTTCTTATCTGCAACTGCAAGAATCTAGTTATGGTGATCGTCAATGTTATGTAAATTTTGCAACAGGTCATTGCACTAACAGCGCGTGTTGCACGGACGACTGCCAAAAAAAAAAAAAAAAAATTATTCAACATCAAAAACGTCTAGGCCACCCTCCAGAATTCTACATGTCACTTTAATTTTCAAAAAGAAGCCGACCATTGTCCGTCTCCGATGACTCTTGAGCTTTTGCCTGAATTGATTGATTAGGTCAGGTGCGCATAAAGAATAGAAATCATCGAAGGGGCAGGGCGGGACTTGCGTAAAAATGCTATACAGCTACACTCTATCGTTAGTAGATGTACTTGTAACTAATAATTAATACATTTAATAATTCTACATCATTGTGGTATATTAGTACCTAGTTTTTTTTAGCATTTTTAGTGTTGATGATAAATTATATAAAAGAGAATAATATTTTTTAAAGTTTTTTTATTTAAAATTTTAATTTAAAATTTCATATTTTTAATTAACTGAGTTACTTTTTAAGGAATAGTAGTATGTAATTTTAAATGAGTAATGATATGGGTTGAATTTTTATACAATTTTTTGTATTTTCTATCTCAAAATGACTATTACATTTTGAGTTTTGTTCTAAATTAAAGATTTAAAAATAATATGTGTTTACTTATAATATCCTTAAAAAGATAAATAATAAAAAGATATTTTTGTGATTAAATGATTGATTACTTAAAATAATCATTTAAGTAGAGTTAAAATAAAAAAATATTTATTTATCTTGAAAATGAAAAAAATAATTAATTTGAAATAAATTTAAAATAAGAAAATAAGAATTAATTTAAGACAAGTGCAAAATAAAAAATAAGAACTATTTTGGGATGGAGTATACAACTTTTACGTATATTTTATTAAATAAATATATATAATATTATATTTACAGTAAAATAAAAAGATTCAATTATATATATAAAAGTCATGTAAAGTCGTGTAAAAAATTTAGATAAAAAAAATTGAATAATGACAAAATGGATGACATTTATAAGAATGAAATTTGGAACCAATGACATGATATAAAATATATAATTTAAAATATTAAAAAATAAATATTATATCATTGAATAATTAATTTTTTATATTTTTTTTGAAAATCATGATATTATATGCATTAATTTATTTATATCACATCATTGATCTCAAGTTTTCGTCTTCTCTATCACTGTTTAAAAAATTATTGCTTAGTCATTATTCGTGTTGAATATGGCATAATAGAAAATGATTTAAAAATAATATTTTTATATTATATTTTAATATAATTTTATATATTATTTAAATAATTAATTTTTTTATTTATTTAAAACCTATAATATTAAGTACATTTACTTAATAATAATAAAATAAAAGTTATATAAAAGACTATTACAAAATTATCTCTATATCATAGTCCATGCACAATTGAACATCAGTTCCAAGTAGGCCACGTAGTCTCCAACTCATCAAGTGGAACTCAACCGAAGGAGTGTCCCGTTAGTTTTAACCAAATTCCGTTAAATAATGATTTATTTTGCTTCTATTCAACTAGTTCGAGGGCCGGGGTTCTCTCTGGGTGTGCTCAAAGACGCCCACCATCTTGTTAATATCCCTAAAAAATTATTCAATTTAACTAATTATTTATTTATTTATAATTTTTTAAAATAATTAGTTATGATATTTTAGAATATTAATTTATAAATTAATTTTAATATATTAAATAATAAATATTAATTATTTTATCTATTATTAGTTATTTTTAATCATTAAAATAAATAAAATTAAATAATTTTAACAAAATAATAAATAATCATAACTATACTTTCATTTGCCCAATTTTAATTCAAAGATTGATTTGCCCGGAGTAGATGGTTGACTAAACATTTTAATATTTAAAGTTTTTGGTGCACCGCTCCTAAACCCCAAGTAATTAGCAAGTATTTTTTCCTAAAAGAAAAAGGCCGATCGGTTGAAGTTGAAATATATATATATATATATAATAATCCAACATGGTTGCTCTTCCATTGCCTTAAAAGCAAGGTGATGTGTTGGATGAAATTGAATTGAACCCTAATGGTTCAGCACTTAGTAAGCCAGGTAGTGGAGGAGCGGGTGGTGTTATTAGGGATTACCAAGGTAAGTGGGTTGTTGGATATGCCAAAATGCTTGGCATGGGATCTAACAACATGGCTGAACTCTAGGGCATTAAAAGAGCAGTTGAAATTACTGTGAATAGAGGCATTAAAACTCTTAAAATTGAAACTGGCTCAATGTTCGTTTTCAAAGTTCTGTCCAATATGGTGATAAAGGTGCTAAAGAGACCATTGAACCACGGGCTAACCCGTGCACATTATTGATCCTACATCTATAACAAGTGAAGACTAATTAAGCATGCCTATAGAGAGGCTATGGAAGTCACCGATGCATTGGCCAAGTTTGCAGCAACAATGAAGTGGAGCATTTTTAATTTTTCCTAATAACATTTGAAAGGCTAAGTTTACTCAGGGCTGAAACTTTGGTGTTTCAAATGATTGTGTAAGGATTAATTTTATTTTAATGTCATTTTTATTGAATTTTTTATTTTACATTTCTAATTATATTGAATTATAAAAGAAAAAATAAAATTCTATTATCTCATTTAATGAGTAAAATTGTATCTCTAAAATCGTATAAATCTATCGAAATCAACTTTTTTTCATTTATTTATTTATTTTTTTGAACAAATTGTTAAAGGATGGGTTTGAAGCTCACCCATGAGAGAAGGAAAATGTACCTCAAGCTGATATATTGCCAATTAAGGTCAGGTGATTTTTCATTTCTTAATTGCACAAAAGAAAAAAAAGGGAAAAAAAGTAAGGTGACGTGGCCCCTATCTTATCAGGAGGAGTTAGTTGGAGAGCACAGTACCTAGCATTGCTCTTCTAAATAAGGCTGGCCTCAAAAGGAACTTGTGGGAGAAAAACCAAGGACAGTAAACGGAGAAACATCCACAGTTCCATCATCTTCACCTTAATCCCTCGACTTGGGCCTCAAAATCCATAGATAATCCCTCAAAATCTGCAGTTCATTGAAAATCTTTTCTTTTTGAAACAAGACAGATCCTCACCAGCCGACCATCATCTCCCATATCCATGCTTGCATTTTGCTAATTTTCATGGAAATTTAAAAATTTTGTTGGAAAATTGCTGAGCATGCTAACTTGAAGAAAGACTTCATCATTCATTTACATATACCCACAGATCTGAAGCAATTTTCAGAGTTTTTGTCGAGGTAAGCATGAAATTTTTCTCTTCAAATCAATATTCCATGCTATTGTGATCTTTGTGAATCTCGTTGATTCTTGTAAGGATAGGTCGTATTTGATGTTTTTGAAGAGGAACCTTACTCTTGCTCATTTGTTTAGAGAACTGCAGATTTGAGGGAAGAAAATTTGAAAAAATTCCTCTTTGGTAAGTTCGGCTCTCTTCTTCAAAACTTTTTTTTTTTTGGCTTTAATCTTCTTGCAAGGATTTGAGAGGGTTTGATTTTTGCCTGGTAGATTTTGGGATCTTGTTTGTGAAATCTCAAAGAACGTTAACGGTCCCGGGAATTGTTTTTCTACGGTAAATCCTGATTTCTTCTTCTTCTTCATATTACATGTACCCTCACTAATTTCCTGATAAGTGCTTGTAAAACGGTTCAGACTGCATGGACCATAAAACATGAATGATTTGATGAAGGAACCTTAATATCAGGTATTGGATTTCTTTCTTTAGCTAATCATTTATGTTTTGTGGTGTAAACCGTATAATAATTTTTTATTTTATAATTAATTGTAGTTTTTAATTTTTGAATCTTAATTTTTTATATGTTTAGTCATAAAAATTTATAATAAAAATTTGAATTTATTAAATTTAATTTCAATATAATAATAATTACTAAATCTATAAAATTTGAAAATAAAAACTAAGAACATAAAAATATACTAAATAAAATCTTAGTTATTAACGGATGAGGCATATCTCCTTATATTAAAGACCACTCTTTCATTAATAGTTAATTATTTTGTGATTCAAATGAAATAAATTATAAAATAATAAGACAGACT